GAACCTATACGTAATCCCAATCCATGATTGGATGAGGAAGAAGGGTTCTCGAATGATGACCAACCGACTTAACCTGGAACAATGGAAGGACACCGAGCACATTCTGATATTATCGGCGAGGACACCAAAGGATCATTAACAACCCTTTCAAAAGGCCGTCGGCGTTTGCGTCGCTTCCACGGAACATGCAAGGACCTATCCGCAGGTAAAAAGAATGTTGAAATGGTGGATAGATTACTATTGGTTAAAGTGTCACATTGCTCTTGGTCCTCTGCCAAATTAATGGGCACGTACGTACGTATTTGTACATGGGCACGTCACAGTAGATAGGAGGAGTAAGATGCATATAGACAACCAGAACGAAAATAATACAGCTCAAAACATCTATATATAGATGTAATTATATGAAGAAGAGTAGTATAGTATACAGTATCAGGTAGAAAAGAGAAAAAAAAAAGAAAAACAAAGAAGACACAGTGCAACACAAAGAACGCAACAAAAATGCAAAGCAGAAAAAAAAAAAAAGAGCCAGTTCGTTTTTTTTTTTTTCAACGCGTCTATCGAGGTTAATCAATGTTAACTTACATCGGAATTTATTCGTACAGGAGCACTTTCATGTTGAGGTGCGCTTTCATGTTCTTGCAAATGTTTGATCAGGACCGGAACTTTTTTGAACTTCTATTGAGGTTAATTAACATTCCTCCTTTTTTTTTCATATGTCTTATTCGTTTGTTATGTTCGATTTATGATCCTATATGCCCCTTGGTCTTTTCAGGGCCCCGTGCAATAAAGTCATACGTACCTCGTCTATCGACGCTTGCCCTTTTGTATTCTCCGGCAGGGCTCAACATCCTGTTCGGATAAATTTGTCAATGGGATCGGAACTTCTTTTGGTTCCAATCCACCGTAATCGAGGCGGCTCCTACTTGCGGCCAGCCTTAGGTATCCTAAGTCAGTCATCCGTCCACAAAAGATTTGAAAAAGGTAACATGTCTTCACCGACCTTTCCGAGCCTCGATCGCTAGGAAGTAGTCCGTAGTACCCATTCTCCTCGCCTGAGCACGAGGCACAGATCTCAGAACTAGGCGTTGGCTCCACTGCAACAACATTGCACCACCCCCATAAATGGGTCTATGCGGCATACCGCACCTCCCCCCCGCCAGCCTCGAAGGTCGTGGATCCAGGAAGAGTCATTCCTAGCGATTGAGGTCGGGCAAACCGTTGATGGCCTCACCTTTCTTCTCCTCTTTTGCTTGGGCGACTTTGATGAAATAGGAGCAAAGGGGGTAGAGAACAAGACTTTTTGGAACAGGTCTAGGCGAGAGGAGGTCATTCGGGATAGAATGAGTGTCTTGGGAAAAGGCTACATTCATTGCCGTTTTTATTCCTTCTTATCGGATTGGTTCCTTCTCCAATATTCAGTCGAAATACATGGTGTAACCCAACCCAACCAATAACACTTAATTTGCTTCATATGAGTGTTTGAGTATTTTCAGCAGCCCATGTAGACCAATCATACGTACCTTGATTATTCTTGAGCATCCTTTGCTTTCCTTCCATAATGTTTACTGGAAGGCGGTCTAAGTTTATTGTTGTTTTTTAATCTTACTATCGAGACTCTTCCTTTCTAATTATTCATAAAATTCATACTATAATATCATAGAACATTTAAGCCTACATTTCTTTTTTCCAAACTTCTTACTCATCTCAACCGGTTTTGAACATTATTTCATGTCTATATTTTAAGGGATACTCACCTGATTGTTTTTAAAAATAAGCAGAACAGTATAAGAACGAACACACAAAACCATACAATATTGACAAAGAAAATTCAACAAATGTTAGCAACTAAGCATTATTTTCTTCCCGTTCCATGAATAGTTATCAAGAAAAGAAATGCAAAAAAAAA